TAAGAGACAGATATTCGTTTTATTTCTTTCCCATCCAACAGCAAGTATCTCGATTACAGGATGTAACGGTGTATAATACACAAAATCATTTTATGAGGCTTAGGGAGTGAAGTTGTTTTAGGCGCCGTGAGAAAAGTACGGCTAAATTAGATATTCTTAATAATGTATCAAGTTTAGGTGGTCTGTATGTATATATATATATATATATATATATATATATATATAAAACTAAAATAAACTATCGCAAGTATTACAAGCAGAGTGCTCAATGGTAGACCGGAGCGGATGTAAATAAATAAAAAGCGAGGTTCACCGTAGCTTTGATTAAGACATTTTATTACTACCTAGTTTCGTACCACACACATGGTGTGACACTCTTCAGATAAAATTGCCTAATGACTAAAAAAACATAAATACAATTGATTGAGATAAGCTGAGCATGCGCAGAAAGCCAGAGCGGTAATTCAAAGGGTTCAATTAGTTGGGTCAAACGAAACTAAGTGGTAATAAAATGTCTAATCAAAGCTACTGTTGAACCTCGTTTTATATATATATTTTTACTCGCTATATTTTTTATCTGTACCACCTGATGAAGGGCGATGCCCGAAATCGTTTGTGTTTTTTACCATTAAAAGTTACGGCTACTCTACACTTTTGCTTTATGCGTTTTATTACTCTCTCTCTCTCTCTCTCTCTCTCTCTATGTATGTATGTATGTATGTATGTATGTATGTATGTATGTATGTATGTATGTATGTATGTATGTATGTATGTATGTATGTATGTATGTATGTATGTATGTATGTATGTATGTATGTATGTATGTATGTATGTATGTATGTATGTATGTATGTATGTATGTATGTATGTATGTATGTATGTATGTATGTATGTATGTATGTATGTATGTATGTATGTATGTATGTATGTATGTATGTATGTATGTATGTATGTATGTATGTATGTATGTATGTATGTATGTATGTATGTATGTATGTATGTATGTATGTATGTATGTATGTATGTATGTATGTATGTATGTATGTATGTATGTATGTATGTATGTATGTATGTATGTATGTATGTATGTATGTATGTATGTATGTATGTATGTATGTATGTATGTATGTATGTATGTATGTATGTATGTATGTATGTATGTATGTATGTATGTATGTATGTATGTATGTATGTATGTATGTATGTATGTATGTATGTATGTATGTATGTATGTATGTATGTATGTATGTATGTATGTATGTATGTATGTATGTATGTATGTATGTATGTATGTATGTATGTATGTATGTATGTATGTATGTATGTATGTATGTATGTATGTATGTATGTATGTATGTATGTATGTATGTATGTATGTATGTATGTATGTATGTATGTATGTATGTATGTATGTATGTATGTATGTATGTATGTATGTATGTATGTATGTATGTATGTATGTATGTATGTATGTATGTATGTATGTATGTATGTATGTATGTATGTATGTATATATATATATATATATGTATGTATGTATGTATGTATGTATGTATCTCGTAATGATGAAAAAAAAGCATCTTTACTGTAAAAAATAAATACTTGCATGATATTACCCAGATCCATTAGGGTTGTTTTGCATGCTGTTAATATTTTCATCGGAGGAGGATGCAGCATTATCGGCTGTAATGAGAATAATATTGGGAATTGTCAATAACGTTTAGGAACTTGGGAGCACTTGTTAGTAGGCCAATTATATACCGTGTGTCTTAACTATAGCTTTTGAACAGCAATACTTTCAACATGCACACATGGGGAATAAATTACCTACCAACGAGTTACTTCGATTTCTATTATTTTAACAAATTCTTTTTTAGACCCTAGAGCCCATAATATTATCACCAGTTTTGTGTGGTTTGAAGCGGATGAGAATCTTGAATAATACCCTAGGTATAGGCCTACTCCCAGACATGGTTGTAGCTGGGTGAGACTGAAACGAAAGCGTCTTAAATACAAGATTGTAATGCACAGCGAAACATTAAATTATGAAATTTAGTTATTATTTTTTCTCATGAGGTGGTATTATCAAAATTAGGCACTGTGATATAAAAGAACTCAAAATACCTCCTTGGATGCGACCGTCTCCTGAAAATAGAAATAAAACAACTGTAAGCGATCAAATACCGGTATGTGCTGCAGTTCATGTAAATATGTAGAGACTTAATTAAATACGTCGATAAAAGTGCTTACATATTATCAAGTGGTGTAACACGTGTGTATTTATCTTGAAATACATGTTTCGCACACAAGAATATTTGACTAGATAAACCGTTAGAGTTATTCAGTTCATCAGAAGTCAGTTGTTTACTGTCAATTGGTATGAAACATCAATGCATTGCCATTTTTGAGTTAGCGCCATGACGCTTATTAAAATATCTCTAATGATGATTGTGGTGGTAGTGGTGGTGGGGGTGGTGATGATGAGGATGACGACTATAATTATTGTTATTATTGTTACGGTATTTATTATTATTATATTTATTTATTCATTATTATTACTATTATTATTATTGTTATTATTATTGTTACTATTATTATTATTATTGTATTATTATTATTATTATTAAATTATTATAATAAAAAGTTTGTTTACCTACGTCATCAGCTACTGGACCGTCTAATACACCCACTAGAATAAAATGGTTTAAAATGTGTTAAATACTTTTGAATAAACTTTTGAATAAACAAACTTTAATAAGATTAATTATGTTTACGAGTCGACAACGTGCCTTTATGGGTCCATAGAGAATTAAAATAACATTGTGTTATACAAACCTAGGAATACTTTAGCTTTTGCGTTAACACTAGCATGAAGTTCTTTCAAATTTGTTTGCATCGGTTTATTCGGCCAAATGTGTGTTTCCAAATAAAAAAAAAGGCCCCATCTCTTCGTGAATCTGCCGCTGGTCAATTTGTACATTACAGCCAGACATTCTATATCGGCATCGGTACAAGCCAATAATGTTTTAAATAACGCTTTGCGAATCGGGCTTAGATGACAGGCATTCATAGGCCTGTTAACTTGACGGACTTTTATAGAGTATTCGCTGATCAGTTTTTTCACGTCTTCTACTTCTATCAAGTCGCCTATCTCAGTTAGGAGACTTACATCGTTATACTTGATTTTACCACTTTGGTCCAGTTTATCGATAAGAGCGACTCCTGTGATGTCCTTTTTATCCAGGACAGATATTGGAAGGCTCTCGTACAGTAGGAATTTCAGCCGAAGTAAATTTTCGCCGTCGAAGAGACTGCCAAATTGACAGATCATACCCCGATATTTAGTATCAGTAACATCGTTTTCTGTCATCTGAAAATCAATTGTATATTTATTTTAAGAATACAATAGTAATATTTGTGTGAAATTTTCTATTATACTATCATTACCTATGAGGAAGTGTTTATAATTAACAGTGTGAATACAAATTGGTGGATAAAGAATTAAAACATAATGTTTAGACGCCAGAACGAGCTTTAAAATACGTGGATTGCATAATGTATTAAAAATGTCTCATTGCAATAATTCATTTTGTAAGTGGCCTATGTCATTAGGTTCCATCCAAAAAATTCAGATCGCCTTATACACCATCCCCTTCCATCACCTACTACTACTGCAAATATAGGAATTACCTATAGATGCATTTGTTGGATTAGTGTTAATTTTCTCTTATACTTGACTCCTACCCCGTTTCTTTTTAATGTACACAGAGGCGTTCATTATATCAGTTTAAATTATTATCAGTATTATTCAGACATGAAGTGCAAAAGTACATTTCTTGTTCAAATTAATTCAAATTTAAGGAAAAGGGAACTCAAATAATTCTTTTAAGCTGAGACCCTTAAAAAAGAATTAAAACATAGAATTATAATTTATAAAGCTATATGTTGTATGAGCTATTTCACAATAAATAGCAACTAAAATATTTGTTAGTACGGTATAACCAAAATTGTTATTGTTTAATATGAAATGCTTTACATTTATATCATCATACAATGAGTATACATACAAATGAGTATACATGAAGGGGGTCTTTACCTTGGAAAATGGAATAAAACAACTTCTTTATGCTCAACGCCGTACCAACCAAATTTGATGACAAGTTTTCTAACTTCTTTCCCAAAAAAAAAATTGAATGAATATTTAGCTCTCATCATTTTCTTAGGCTTATTCAAAACAGGCTCATGTACGCCTACACACGATATACAGTAAGCTTAATATTATAAATAGCAATAAATAAGAATAATAATAAAAATAACAATGATGATAATTAGACCAGGCTATAATTGAGATAGGTGACACTTGGAGAGGTAGAAATTCTCATATGGTTTTTCTAGACCAGATTTTTATGGGGAATCAGAATATGTGAGGTAAAAGGGGCGTAACCTGAGAACTTTCGCGAGAGGGCGCTTTTTAAAATGGCCGCCAAAATTAAAGAACAACTTAACAGCAGCTTCAATACCCTAAATAAATTTGTGTAATTTACAAATCATGAATGAAATAACTGCTGTTGACTTTTTAAACCCAAAATAACATATTTTAGGGTGGTAAGCTAACTCACTTTTGGAAATGGAAAAAATGCCCCCTTATATTAGCCCTTTTCTGTTTTGAAGAATGGAAAATATCACCAGAATCCTAAAAAAAATTCCAGTTTCCAGTTTTGTCTTTCATAAAAACACAAGGTATTCCAGAGGACCACACAAATAACTACCAATAAAGGCATTCATTCATTTATTACATAATTGTCCTTTACTGTGTAACCCTATGTTGAGCTAATCTTCATGTATTGCTAATATCACTGCAATATGAAAGTCTTCGTCTTTATTATAATCAGTTCTTGGACGTCCATGGGCATCACTGTCACAATCATTTTTTGCTTCAGTTGATCATTCCATCTGTTGTGAATACTATTTTTATTGACCAAATCATACGTCTGCTTAATTTTCTTTAGCGATTAAAATTTGCTCAAGTGCTCAAGGGTCTGCTTGCAAACATGGTGGTAGCAATGATATGTCTGATCTTGTTGCCTCTATTGAACATTTCACATCTTGCTTGATTTACACTTTTCCCCTTAACTCCATGCCGCAGTCTTCAAGTTCCACATACATCTTTTGTGACAGAACATCTAAAACTTTAATGTTGCAGAACGTGTCAACAAAACTTTGCCTTTGACTCAGAAGCACGAGATCCAATAAGGGATGATTTCTTCTCTGGTGAAAGTTAATGTCACTTAATTTGAACAACTTTCGGTATTTGCCAGTGTTTGTGTCTAGAATGACCCTCTCCATTGTCATAAAATAAGATATACAGTAGCAGCGACTGCAATATCGATACTTAACAAACTTAATCGTTCAAGAATGAAAATAAGCAGAGGTAAATGACTGTCAATAAAAATAGTTAATGGAACAGATAGAATGAACAAATTCCTGTGGAAGTCCAAGAATTGTTCATACGATAAATACGAAGACTTTCAGATTGCAGTGATAAAAGCGATACCTGAAGATTATTGCTCAACATAAGCTGTTAAACACTACAGGACAAAATGTAGTAAATGAATTGATGCCTTCTTCATACATGAAAATTATGGTAGTTGTCTGGAATACCTTGTATAGCACACAGAAATAATTTTTAAAAAAAGCAACCGGATATTTGTAAGGAAGCTGGAATTTTTTTAGGATTCTGGTGATATTTTCCATTCTTCAAAACAGAAAAGGGCTAATAATATAAGGGGGAAATTTTACTTACATTTTCAAAAATGAGTTAGCTCACGCCCCTAAAATATGTTATTTTCGGTTTAAAAAGTCAACAGCAGTTATTACGTTCATGTTTTGTAAATTAAACAAATTTATAAAGGGTACTAGCTGAAGCTGCTGTTAAGTTGTTATTTAATTTTGGCGGCCATTTTAAAAAGCGCCCTCAATTGCCTTCCGAAATCTTCACATCAATAACTTTAGCTAGTTATAATTTACTCCTATCATTACATATTCAAAAGTTGGTTAAACCTACCTCTTTTGTGCTTATTTTACCAATATATATGTAGTTTATTGGATTTTTGCGGCCATTTTGAAAAAGCGCCCTCACGCGAAAGTTCTCAGGTTACACCCCTTTTACCTCACATATTCTGATTCCCCATAAAAAACTGGTCTAGAAAAACCATATGAGAATTTCTACCTCTCCAAGTGGCACCTATCTCAATTATAGCCTGGTCTAAATGCTATGCTCATACGTCAAATAAAAGGGGAAATCTACACTGCAAATCGAAACAATAAACACTGTAAATGTTAACATGTATTATGATGAACAGGCTTAAGTAAATATGATAGAGTGATGTATTACTCTTTATTTAATACCTCCTAGACAATATCGATGTGGGCTTAGGCCCACCTTGGAGTTGGGTTAACGTAACAGATCTTCGTGTAACAACATGAATGTGGTCTATAAAATGAAATGTAGCCTATATTGAAGTATTAACTATAGTATTTCAATTCAATTTATTAAACATTATAACGCTATGGTTTAGCCATGAAAATGGCAGTTAGTCGCATAAAGTGCCATATTTTTTAAAATCCAAAACATACCGTTAATTCTTTACTTCTTTTGAGTGCAGTACTTAACTTTCTCAATGGCCGCCGCAGCCGGGTCGAATGTTCTGGATATGGGCGTTAACAGTACAGGTGTATTTTTCCCTGAAAAAAAATAATCAATTTTAAATGTAACTTACTCACCATTTTTAAGTACCATAAAAATATATACTGGAGCTTAGAAATATAGTGGATATAAAAATGTTTACCATGATTTTTTTTACAGGATAATAATGAAAATGATAGAAACCCTTTCAGGATGAGTTGTGAAATATTTATTGTTTATTGTTTATTTTTTCATGGAAAAACCCATCTTCGAAATGACTGCATGTTGTACTATTCCACAACCACCAGTGAAGAAGATCTACTATGAAGGGCCAATGAGGCAGAATATTCTATTTAGATTGAAATATTCTAATATCTAAATAATGTATAGCGTACAATAATTCAATGCTGATGAATACAGATGTGTAAAAATCAACTTTGTCTCCGTTTTCCGCATTTTGAGATTTTTCATTGCTGACCAAGGTAACAATCAATAAATCAAATCCATAAATAAAAGAAGTTGATAAAGTTTCAATGTAATACACCATTATATATATATATATATATAAATATATATATATATATATATATGTGTGTATATATGGATATGTATATATATATATGTATATGTATATATATATGTATATGTATATATATATATGTATATGTATATGTATATATGTACATGTATATGTATATGTATATGTATATGTATATGTATATGTATATGTATGTATTTATATGTATATATGTATATATATGTATATATATGTATATATACATGTGTGTGTATATATATATGTATGTGTATGTGAATATGTATATATGTATGTATATGTGAATATGTATATATGTATATATATATATATGTGTATATGTATGTATACATGTATATGTGTATATATTTATATGTATATATATATATATATAATATATATATATATATTGAGTATGAATATCTTTCTGTGTCTGTATTTTGTGTTGATATTGTGTGTGTATGTTTATATGTATATATATATATATGTATATGTATGTATATATGTGTGTATATATGTATATATTTATAATATATGTAACTTGAGATGTGTCTAGTGTATTGTCTAAAGTAGTTTATTGAGTACACGAACTTTTCTCGTCTCAAGAGTTTATATTTTTATATATGTTTGCCGATGCAGCTTTTAAGTTTGTTTGC